GCCGGTCTCCCGGCCTGGAGTCGGCTGGGCTCACGCGCAGTGGGTCCCGCCAAATACGGCCGTTTGCGTTGCCACAGTGGCCCCCGGCCTCTCATCAGAGGCCTTCCGCGCCTCTGGGACCCTCTCCCGTCAGGACCCTCCTCTCCGGAATCCAAACAGGGTCTTCCTGGCCCACCGTGCCCCGTGGCCACATGTCGCCGGGTGGCCAATCAGAGCGCGCCATTCCCTGGCCGCGGTCATTGGCGGGCGCCTGACCCCAAGTGACCCAATTGGAGTCTCCCCAGAGCCCCTGCAATGACGGGGCAACTAAGGAGCAGGACTGGGGGCAGTCCGGTTCCAGGGTCCCACCGCCCAGATCCCCGCCCCGCCCCGTGGCCCCGCCCACGCCTCGCCTCCTAGATACCAGGGCCCCGCCCACGTCCCTCCTCCTGGAGACCCGCCCCGTGACCACGCCCCCAGACACCCGCCCGTGGCCACGCCCACCTCTCCTCCTGGAGACCCGCCCCAGGGCCCAGTCCAGAGCTCCTGGGTTTCAGGCCCGCGGCTCGCGGTGGCTTCCTCTCCGGCGTCGAGCTCTGTGGCTGTGCCCGTGCCTCCGCCTTTGCTGCCGTCATTTATCGCTCAGCCCCTCATCCATCGCTCAGCCCCTCATCCGTCGCTCAGCCCCTCATCCATCGCTCAGCCCCTCATCCGTCGCTCAGTCCCTCATCCATCGCTCAGCCCCTCACCCCTCGCCCAGACCCTCCCTCTCCCTCCTCCTTTCCCGGGCCCCACCTGCCGCGTCTCGGGTCCAGCTTCCCGGACACTGCCCTGACCTTCCGACTGGTCCGCTCTTCAGCAGGGACCTTCCTGGAGCTTAAATCGGATCCTGTCACTACCCCCCTTTAAAAAAAATGTTTTTATTGATTTTTAGAGAGAGGAAGAGATATAAACGTCGATGCGAGAGGAACACCCATGGGCTGCCTCCTGCGCGCCCCCTGCTGGGGATGGAGCCCCAAACCCGGCCCTGTGCCCAGACCGGGAATCCAGCCTGTGACCGCGGTGCACGGGTCCGCGCTCAATCTATTGAGCCACACCGGCTGGGCATCCCTTCTTTAAACATTTAAGTGATTTTAGAGAGAGAGGAAGAGAGAGAAACAGCCATCGGCTGCCTCCCGTAGTACCGATCAGGGATCAAACCCGCAACCTGGGTATGTGCCCAGGTGGGGAATCGAACCAGCAACCTGATGCCGCTCCAACCAAGGGAGACACACCGGCCAGGGCCCTGTCGCTCCCTCCTTAAACCCCGAGGGCAGCGCTGCGCACGGGGCGGCTGGGCATCCCACCCGCCGGGGCCATGCGCACCGCCCTGGTGTACCACGAGGACATGACGGCGCCCCGGCTGCTGTGGGAGGAGTGAGTGTCACCTGGGCGAGGCGGGGAGCTGCGGGGAGGAGGCTGGAGTCTGAGCTCTCTGTCCACAGCCCCGAGTGTGAGATCGAGCGCCCGGAGCGCCCGGC